AGTGCCAAGGTGCGCCCGTGCCACAACCTCGGTCCTGCGATCAGATCCTGAGCCTAAAAAACTTTATAAAACCATCTAAATGATTTGCATGTCGTTCAGAAGGGCTAACGTACCTCTATTGTCTATAAGTAGGGGCGCCATACAAATTCTCCACGATTTTGATCAGAGTTCTAGAGCGTGGCGCATCTTGAACGGCTAAATCAACTTCGGCATGTCGTTTTGTTAGTCTAACGAGGGGGGTCTTTTAGGACATGGAGCGTTTTTTTCAAAACGGTTCCCCAGTTTTTGTAGATTCAAAATACGTTTCCCCAGTTTTTGTAGATTCTCATGTGAGGAATACAGAACCATGGTCCATTTTTCCTGAACGCCCCTAGGAGTCTCAAAACAGGGGAGAAGAAATGGTCCAAAGTTCGATCCTCCGTCATGACAAATTTTTGCAATTTATCTTGGGGCCTCCAAAATGCCGCAAAACACGACAATTACATCTATTCTCGACGATGGAGCCATTTGGCCGCAATCTGGGGCCGCCAAACTATATTGCAAAAATTAGTCATCACCGGGGATCGAACTCGGACCATTTCTTCACCAATGTTTTGACATTCCTGGAAGAATGGAAGAATGGATTATGGTTCTGTGTTCCTCGTATGAGCCCCTACAACATGCAAAAACCGTTTCAAAAAAGCGCTCCATGTCCTGAAAGACCTTCCTCGTGAGTACTGATATGCGTGCTCAGAAATCTCTAAAGTTGTGTTCTATTGAAATGGGCCTATAATATTCGATGACTCACACATTTGCACGTGTGAGCCATAAAAGCGCACACATTTCAATCACACTTTCGTTAAATTTTTTGATTGACGCCGCTTTCATCATCGCCGACAACGCACACCAATCGATCACGGTAGCGTTCTGGAAAGGGGCTGATCCATGGAAACTAACCATAGAAAGTTTCATGACGGCTTCCCACATCGATTGCCCTGTGCGTTCGCATAAAGGGCACGAAATAGTAATACTGAAAGGACCCACCTAGTGTTATCAGCGTTGACGGAGTGACATTGTCGGATTAGGGGTATAAAGAACTTCACGCTTAGCTGCTGCGCCAGCAATGGGCAGCCTCGAAAGAACGCTTGTGCATAGTCAGCTATCCAAGCGACAAATCAGCTTAGGCAGCGTTTATTGTTGGCGATTAGCTCACGGATTAGCTCATGATCGATCAATATCTCCAATGGAGTATCACCCGTATCAATTGTCGTCCATTTGATCATGGAATTGTTTCATGATCATAAATCGTCAGCAACATCTCCATTCTTCATTGAAAAGAAGTGCCCTATTTAAATGAAGAGCAAGCGATGACTATAGTAGCAGTAAGTAGCAACGAACATGCCTCTGCTCAGCCGTTCGTGGGTGTGTAGTGTCGCAAGCGTCACCGTTACGACCCTGCCTGCCAGCTAGGGGCGTTCGTTTGCGCTGCTAAACGCGCATCGCACTGCACCCATAGGGAGCCGATCTACTCTCACTATATCTCCCTTCTTCGAACTCCCACCATATCGTGGAATCCTCCTTGAATTGACACCTGTCTCTCTGACCAGGGCATGCTTCCAAGTTCCCATGTGACTTTGGATGGAAACCCACGCAGATCAGTAGTCTGAATACTATTCACAGATATGTAGACCAAAACTGCTACGCGACCTTTCTAGGCAAGTTGTGAGCGGTCAAAGTTGGCAAGAAATGCAGTAGAAAAGTGAGTTGCGGCACCAAACTGGCGCCAGATCGCCTCTGTCTCAAAAATGAATGTCATATTCGTGACCAGGCCATCTGTTTACCCCTATAGGTACTGTTTCAAAAAAAACTAAAAACGCCGATGCGGTTAGATTAGCTCGCCTCCTACACTGACGCTACCCTTCCTGTCAACTTTGACCGCCCACGATTTGCTTGGAATGTTCACGTAGCAGTTTTGGTCTCAATATTTGTAACTAGCATTCATTACTCTATTGATTCATCCTAGTATCCAGTTTAAAATATTTCTCGTGTAGATAATCGTGAACATCCATTTTGCCAGTGAATTTAAGCGTGGGCTCATGAATATGAAATCCTTTTAAGTGCTAACCCTGCGCGGTGTCATCTCTGAGCTAAGCGTAGGTTTATTACTAGACTCTTACCCCAAAATGTTTTAACGAATTTTCCGATTACACTGAAGCGGAAACTGATGTGCGAATTATTACGTAATCCGTTATCTGACAACTGTTTTTTTCCACAGAGGAGAGTCGCTGCTGTGCCACACAGCATTACGACGGAGATATGACGCGCCATCATAGGTTCTCCAGGAGGACTCTCCACTAGGCTCTCGCGCGGCAGTTTTCCTTTACGATATGATACTCGCGATGCAAAGAAAATCGTTGGACTAATGGGTCCTTGGACGAGACTGGTCGGACAACGAGCCCTGGAGTCATTTTATCCTTGCGCTCAGCCAGGTGAACATCCACGGCGCCATTAGATTACCAGAAAGTTCGTACCTCCAATTCCAATAGAAATGTCTTTACGACTTTCAAAAATTCAACGCCACAGTTTCTCGTAAAGGGTGATGTCAAGGCGATTCTCATAGTAGGTGGAAGAGTAAATTGGCAAGGAGCATAGCAGGGAGTTGCGTATGACAATCACACGGTTAACTTCTTAGAGATGTTCTCTGAGCCGGTTTTTTGATCAAGTCCAATTTACAGAAAGCTTGTTTGGACATACACATAAAGTTTTTATGCCTCCGACAATCTATTGACTTGCTATTTAAATAACTTGCTTTTTCTTCACTAGCTTCCCTGCTGTAATCAGATTCGCTTTCACAAGCTCTATACAACGTATTCCTGCCTCGTACGTGCCTTGGTGTACAGGGTGGCCGAAAAGTATAGGACGCCATGATTTTTTGTGTGTGAAAGCCAAGAAAGAGACTCCATCGGAAATCCTGTACACACACAAAAGATAGAGGTTAACCTAGTTTCTGATTCAATTGTGCGGAATGTGCTTTGAACTTGACAAGTCCGCCTGAAAGAGGGCATTTTCGACGTCCCAACCGAACAAAACATCTAGCAGTGCTCCTGCAGTTACCCAACAACGGTTGCCGTCGTTCTTACCATATTCTGAAGCGCTAACTTCAAAGCACTCATCGAGCTGGAGAAGTCTTATGAGGTCTTACTCTACAGCATCCATACATAGAGGAGTATAGCGGGTCAGAGGCCCTGAGAGGAAGGAAGGGTCACAATTCCTTGCTCCAGTGGCCCGGGAAGTGAGCGCCCAGGATGGCTTCGGTCTGATTTGAACGCCGTATTAGGAAGCCCAGCTTTATTGAAGAGCAAACGATCATTGAGCAAAATGCTTCGTTAAAGTAGAACAACATACCATACCTCATTGAAGTCATTTCTAAGACTCATAAATTTTTAACAACCTATGGAAGAATGAACTCCAATGGAGCTGCACCTTTTGGATATAACTCCCTCTCACAAACTACCTCACCTTGGGAGAGAAGTCTGTTGTAAGCTAGACGTCATCTCGGACTTTGCTCTCACTTTCTGGCAACAACTGCCTCTGACTTTGGTGGTCGCATAACGAAGTTACAAGTTCGAAACGTTTTGCGACAATTAACCCCAACCATAAGAGACAACGCAGGGCGCCCTCGAGCTCGTGCCAGAAACTCTTTCCAGTTTGTATCGGTTGATTTAGTTCGGGTTGCTCCGATAAAAACCAAGCTCATATGGTACTTTTCATCGGAATAGTATGACCCAAAACGCAAAAGCGACACTTTCTAGACAAGGGTGGAGATTCAGTCAAAGTTCGTCAAGAATTTGTCAATAGATAAGTGAGGTGGTTGCAGCACCAATACGGTTGCGCTACGATTGTTCCTCCTAACCTCAACTGATGTCATATTGTAGCCCCGCCTGGCATCTCGCCAAATGGCGCCAATTTGGCGCCAGCGCTAAAAACGAATGTCATATTCGTAATCAGGGCCTCAAATAACCCCCATACGCAAGTTTACAGCGAATTTGGTGAATACACCCTTGGCGCCAACTGGCGCCAAATGGCGCCAATTTGGCGCCAGCGCCAAAAATGGATATCATATTTGAGATCAGGACCCTCGAAAACCCCCATGGGAAAAGTTTCAGCGGAAAAAAATTTCAACTTTTTCGGTGAAATTTTTAAGTCAGGATTATTTTTTCTTCAATAAAATTCTAGTGGATAGAGATTTCCTCTGCCCAGGGGTGGCCTAGATAGATGAGGGTATGAAGATTCTTCACAGCAAAAAAATCTCTCCAGAGACCTCCAGAAAATTTCATTTAAAGCCGGTCAGGCCACGCACCGGTTCGGCTGACAGTTGTCGCGGATGGTAAAGTTAATCTGAAATGGGTTTTCAGCGCAAATTCCGCCATTAAGCAAATAGCGAAAAGAACTGGCAAACGGTGCGGGCTTGTGAACGTGAGTAGTCTCTCGAGCTTTCAGGTTTGCTTCCGGTCGGACTATCAAAAAGCGGTGCTCTGTAAAGGAGTACGCTTTTAATCAAAACATGTCTGCAAAACAGCGCACCTTCAATGTGTGTCCAAATGCCCTCGCATTCTGTTGCAAACTGCTGACACATTCAAGTTTTCTTTGTGTTTCTAGACTAGCCATCCGCCCTCACATAGCAAAAGAAACCGTTTGGAGCATTCGCTAATGAGAAAACCTATGCGATGGGAGCAGAGAGCGTTACTATGGAGAAGTTGATTGGATTGAAAATGTCGGACCAATGTTCTCTCGATAATCGCAGTTATCTCCAAACATATCTGATAGCAAAACTATTTTTTATTCTCCTATAAGTTGACATCGATCTTGAATCCCTCAACTGTCGGTTCGTTTACTGAAAAGTGCCTCCTTAGGAAACTCCGTAGAAACTTATTCCCCATATTTTTAATCATATCGATTCGATCCATGTTCGATATCCTGCATTAACGACCATCTAATTAAGTATTGCTTTCAGTTCATGAATGCGATGGAATGAAACCATCACAAAAGCGATTGCGTCGCTGGTCTGTGTAATCCTATGGTGCCTTTCCCTACAATTCATTTCTCGCCATATTCCGAGCATTTCCGGAGAAGAAAAGTATTTCCCGAAACAATTGATCAATGACGATAATGCGCTGAATAGGTATCGATTGAATATTTCCGAGCAGCTCTATCGCAACAGCATCAAAGAATCCGATCATGTAAGTTAAAGGAGTAAACTATCGAAATTTTTGCTTCAATACCTGATCTGTCTTCACCGCTTCGTTGAAGTCATGGCCCTGGATAAAGCTGGTGTGTAAGAGCGCTCGTATGATGACTGAGCTGCGGAATGACCTGAAAGTGGGAAGGAAAGCAAGAGAAATCTTGGAAACGCTGAAATTAAGGCCTTAACCTTCAGTAAGGTCGGATGTGGTACGATGGCGAGACAGGGCGATCAAAGAAGACAAAACACGCGAGAGAGCACGCCGTTCGAGAGAGCACGCTGATCTCTACATCAATCGCGGTGGGTGGGAAGCGTTGCAACGGGGTCGATGGTTGCAGGCCCGTAAGGATTAGCGCCCTAACCGCGCAATTTTTGCGACGAAGCTGGAGTGATCTAGGTAGGTACGTTTTCCCTCGCGGTTTCCTTCCTACTAGTCGGCCTTCCCGGGGCTTGCCTTTAACTGAACAGATGTGGGAAGCTGTTGAAGTGTGCTCTTAAGCCTGCTATAACATGATATTGTAGGCAACATCATTTATTTAGTTCAGCCCACTGGAGATTCGAATTCTTGTTTCTGATCGGCGTCAGGATTACCTTCTACAGGTATGGCCAGGCTTCGACTTTTCTCTTTTTTTCGTGTGACAATCACCTCTTGAAAAACTTTTTTCTGTATTGAATTCCACACTGGGCCAACTTATTGCAGTGTTTTCCTTTATAGGTTATCGCGTTTCTAATTGATTCGTATCAATCCCATAGGCGACTGTCGCCAAGTCTCGAGCTATGCAACGTAGAGCCGGTGGTGTTTGAAGAGTTACGGCGCTTCCAGCTCCACATACCAATTCGAATAATCAGCAGTAAGTTTCACCTGAATCCCGAGGCGATCAATGACCTCCTAATCGCTTTCGCTTTACCATTATACTGCTTTCTCCTATAAGATTTCTATATGGTTCAATGACGCAAACGAATTAACTACTACAATACCGCCCCTAATTTTTGCTAATTAGGCAGAATTCGGCGCATTAGTCCGTCCGCCGCAATCCGCCACTTCGTCAAAACTTTTGTAAAATTTATTTATTTATTTATTTATTTGGACGACCATTAGACCGCAATCGGCCGAAGACGTAATGTGGACCACCCGGTCTTGTGTCTTTTCCGCTTTTCTTCAAATTTTGGCCTTATTTTTGCATAAAATTCGGAGTTTTGAGGTTCGTGTCATTGACCAACGCAGTACCTGCGGACATAACACCGTCATCAACCCTACAGTGCGACTAGGATTCTCGATCGCACGTTGGAACTCCAAATCCAGCATATTTGGATAGATCTCGAATCTCTGATCATTTTAAACATCCATTTTGACAAGGATTGTGCAAATCCGACAATCGAACTTGTTTTTGCAATTTGTTCTTGTTGTATTCCCTTCTATCTAGTTGTTACTTATATGTTGAGGAGAGATACCAACTGTCTATTTATCCGAACGATGACAAATCCACTTCCAGAAACTGGCTCACGACAACTCCCGCTGAATGACGTCTATAAGCAAAAGGCATTCCCGACTACTGGAAATGCCTCAATCGAACAACAAAAGCGAGGTATTCAAATAAGTGATTGCTGATCAATTACTACATGAATGGGACAAAACGATGAACAAGATAACGTGGAGAGGAACATCTCTGCAGGCACTCATGTCGTAGGGGAAAGGGGGGATAGTCAAGTGGGTATGACTTTTACAATATGTGAGACCCAATCTCAAAGAGAAAGGGATCCTGGGAGAGGACTCAGTAATTTTTTGTTCTCCCTGACGCTTCTCACCTCTTTTGGACTTGGTCCCAGTGCCACTCACCATAGGCCCTGTTTTGAATGTCCCCTCCCCCTAAGGGGATGAATGCCTCCTTGTGAAACGCTGTGCATCGGATTCCCGAAGGAGATTGAAAGTGCGACTGGACACCTCTAGCGCTTAACATTTCAATCCAATGTTGCACGACACAGCGGGTTTCCTAACTTTTGGTGAAAGTGATAATCATGAAGTGATCCAAGTTAATCAATACTCTCATACAGGCCTATGCGACCTACATTCGGGACAAAATGATGGAACATTCAGCTTTGTTTAATTATTTCGTTAGAATGCGTCACGGATTCTACATCCATCCAGAATCGTAGCTCTATTTTGAATGCGGTTGGGCCCATGTATGTACGATGACTTACGGTGCCAGCCGATGTGAAAGTCAGTGTTTGTGTACCACACAAGCCTGGTATCAATAAACCAATTCCGGAAGGATGGGAGACCTATGTAGTTGGCCGGACGATCTACGATCCTGGATTCGATCAGCTTGGTAAGAACCACATCTTGCCCCCATACCGCCTTCTCTCGTGACCAGCATTCATAACAACAAGAGATTGAAGTCCGTTTTTCCTGCACAGTGCTAGCGTTGGGATCAGAAATTGCACCTTCAAGTGCGCGTAACCATTTTTGACCCTGAGAAGTCAGGTTTCACTAACTTGATTCATTCTTCGAAATATTTTTTCATCGAACCCAATCCTGTTAGGCTTCCTTCGACTGGTTCACCATGGGTGTCTAATTCGAAGTCCAATTCACGATAAATAAATAAGTAATTATAAAGCCAAGATTTTGAAGTTTATACCCACCATTTTGTTTTTGATAGGTACGTGATGCTGCTCGAAGATGACGCGCTTGTCGTTCCGGAATTCGCTAGAATGATGACCTCACTAATGAAACAACTGGATCGCAGACCGTACGTCGACTACGTGAAGCTCTATCACCCCAATCAACTGCGAAAGATCCCATCCATTCCAATGGTACCAGAATCCTGTCAATAATATTTTCAACTGTATGTCAATAATCCCATGCCATTTAGGCAATAGCTTTATCGCTGAATATTTGTTATTTATATCAAGTTATTGTTTTCCGACGGGTATTCTTGTTGTGGTTAGTGGCTACCTCTGCACTTATGTATGCATTTCTTCGCTCATATGGCTCCCAGGTAAGCACAAACATGTTTGATCTATGGGATATCTATGACGATTTCAACTGGCTATTTAGCTTCTGGCTGATGTGCGATACGCTATCACAAAGTCGGTCTACATGACCGTCACTGAGTCGTGCTGCACACCGGCAGTGGTGTTTCGAGCGCGGAAAATTCCAGCGATCGTCTCCAAACTGTTGGCAGTGTCTAACAAACGTGCATTCATTGGCCATGCAAAGGACCACATCTCGACGAATCGGAGTTTATCGGAAGGCAAACGGATACAAATCTTGTGGTCCACATTGGGGCAGTCAGCTCGGTACGTAAGCGTCTCATCACCCTCAATGAAGTGCTCTCCGCGAGAAATCGCGACCACTAAAGCACAAAGCGCAATTATTAGCTTGTGATAGCTGATTGTGATTTTGATATGTGTGCCTTTGTCGAATTGCTCTCGTTGACATATCGCGTTGCTCTAATTATTCACTCTTTTAAACTCGTTTATAAATAAACAATGAAATATTTCGATACATTGTTTTGCAGGTCTGATTGAAGCAGCAAACCCAGATAAATAAATGGGCCTAACCAAGGAAAGGATCCCACGTCGACATGGCCTTTCAAGATGGATGCATATTTCTGTACCCAATCTTGGGACGCTGAATTCGAATCCGCCCTCCAAATCTGCTAAACGATTCTCTGAACGAAGTTGCGAAATCGTTTATCGGCTGGGGAGTGCGTTCATGAACAACTCGAGCCGCTAGTGGATGTGCTTCGGTGGCGCAGCTGGTAAGCGGATGGACTTGGGAACACGAGATGGGGGTTCGAAAGGTCTCTGCTGGCCAAACATGTTGTCAAATACGATTGCCGAAAGGTGTCGAAATGCTGTGAAATCGAGCGATTGAGGTTAACGTACAATCCTCCTCTGATCCTTCCTGGAGCATTGGTGGTTGAAATGAAATTTATGCTCAAAACCCTGTTTTCAGCACGTGTTCGCGGTCGAAAAGGCGTGCTACTAGTCAAAAAGAGGTCTAGAACCGTTTTGCAAAAGTTTAGGAGACGAAAGGATAAAAGGCAAAACTTCCACACGCATCAAGGATCCGAACCTCCATCTCGTGTCCCCAAGTCCATCCGCTTACCAGCTGCGCCACCGAAGCACATCCCCGGTTCGAGCTGTTCAATAACTCAT